AATAATAACAATAATAATAATAATAACAATAATAACAATAATAATAACAATAATAATAATAATTCATCCATAATTATACATTATCACTCATAAACAACTACGTATTATTATCTAATTACTAACATTTATTTTATTTAATCAGCAAGCCCAACCCATTACGAGTTTTACTATTATTAAAATTATTATTATTATTACTATTATTATGACATTATTTATATATTACCTATTAATATTATTATTTAATATTATTACCATTATATTATATTAATCCATAAATATACTTCATACATTACTACAAATATAATAGTAAATAATAGTTACATAATACTTAGTAGTTGTATAACACTATAATAGTTATTATAATAGTTATTTAATGCTGTTTATATTTATTATTAAACCATAATTACACATTACTATTTTCATATACATTATGACTACTATAATATTATATAACTACTCATTATCTACACACAATTATACATTATTTATTTACTCTTATTTCTATTTACTATAATTATAATAATAATATTAATAAAAATAATAATAAAATAATAATAATAATAAAATAACAATAATCCATCCACAATAAATAATAAAAAACAACTAACAATATGATATTTCTGTTGCATAGCACACATCGCGATCACGATGAATAATGAGGAAAATATTAACGTGAACATTTGGGACCTGAAATTTATCATTAGTTATTCTTTTTACTATATTTACTATATTACTATTTTACTATATATTACTATATTCATTATTATTATTATTATTACCATTATTATCATTATTAGTATTATTATTATTAAAATTATTATTATGACATTATTTATAATCTGAATAAGTCTCAAATAAAAACAAAACAACTCACTTCTTTCTGCCGAATCGCATCAGATAAACGCATCCCAATAACGTCGGCAATTCAATCGCACCCGCAATCGCGTTGTTCACAAAAAAATTACCACTGAACAACACACGACCTGGGGCTGATTGATCCGATAGTGCTGCAATTACATTTATACTTAATTAATTACAGCTATTATAATCACAATTATAATAATAATAAATAATAATAATAACACTAACAACAAAAATAATAAAAATTATTATTATTATTATTATAACAATACTAACAGTAATAATAACAATAACAATAATAATAACAGTCATAATAGCAACACCAAGACCAATAATAATAATAATAATAATAATAATAATTATAACAAATAATAATAACAATAATAACAATAAAAATAACAATAATAATAATAATAATAATAATAATAATAATAATAATA